GTATTTGGAAGAAACTTGTAGTTCTTAGGCTTGAATCTTTTATTTAATCGGGTTTCCGGTGTTGTTTTAGGTGTTTTAAGGATTGGTACAAGTCTGAATGAGGTATTAGGTGCTATTGGTTCTTTTGGTTGAGGTCCCGGGGGCCTCTGGATGATTTCGGGTGGTTAACGGAAGAATTTTTGAAGTGTTGCAGCAGCTGGTTTTTCTCTCTTCTGGTATTTTCGTTTCTGCGGCTTGGGAACCGCAGAAGCGGAGCCGCAGAAGCGGCCTGGTCATCGCAGGAGCGGTTTGGGCAGAGTTTTTCAGGTACCGCAGATGCGGAGGAAATTCCGCAGGAGCGGCCTCGCATCTGCGAGAAAAGGGAACCGTAGATGCGGAAACTTAGACTTTTATTAGAACCGCAGAAACGGCTTAAATTCCACAGAAGCGGAACCGCATAAGCGGGTAATGGTCCGCAGAAGCGGAACCGCATAAGCGGTTAATGGTCCGCAGAAGCGGATATTGGCTCTTTAGTGAGAGTCGCAGAAGCGACTCATTTTCCGCATAAGCAGGACCGCAGAAGCGGTCCCTTGTCCGCAGAAGCGGAAATGCCTGTTTTGATATAGAAAATTCGAGGGTTTGATTTCATAAGTTAGAAAAACGAAATTGAGCTCGGGCAAGGGCGATTTTCAGAGGGTTTTGAAGAGAAGACTATTGGGTAACGTTTCTTTAATCCCTTCTAGTTATATTTCATCATTTTGTAGGTTAAATCCATCCTTTAAATTCGAATTTGGGATCAAAAATTTGAAGAAATTGGGCAAAACTTCATAGGCTAAACCATTGAGTTTTGAGTGAGCATTTGACCTCCGATTTGGGAGATTTTTATATGGTTAGACTCGTGAGAGTGCGAAGTTTCCGAAAATGTGAGAATTATTCGATTCAGAGGCATTGTCCTGAAGGGCATTTTGGTCATTTCACCTAATTTCACGCCGTAGCTTTGAATTAAATAGCAAAACCAGTTGTTTGCGATGTTATTTATGATATGTAAATGTATTGAATAGATTTGGGCCATTTGGAGTCGGATACTCGTGGCAAAGGCGTGGTTTCTAGTTTATTTTGAGTCGGTTCGAGGTAAGTGGCTTGTCTAACCTTGTGTGGGGGACCTTTCCCCCTTAGGATTTGATATGTGATAATTGAGTGCCTTGTACGTGAGGTGACGAGCGCGTACTTGAGCTAATTGTTGAAAAACCCGGTTTTTACTTAAGATATTGAGACTGAGTTTCCTTCATATTTGCCTTGTTTTACTTGTAGTTATAACCTGTGTTAGATTAGAAAAGCATGTTTAGTTGATTTAACTTGCCTAATTGTTTAAGTTGCCTTGACTGTACTACGTGAAGCATGCTAGGCTAGTACTACCTGATGTTTGCCTTTTGTACTTCATTTTTGAATAACTTCTGGTCGTGGTTGCGCATTTACATTGGGACTACGGATGTGGGATTCCGGTAGCTCCCCCCCTTGTTTGTTTACTTTGGGACTGCGGGTTCGATTCCTGATAGATCCCCCCCTGCACATTTACTTTGGGACTGCGGGTTCGATTCCCGATAGATCCCCTTGCACATTTACTTTGGGACTGCAGGTTCGATTCCCGATAGATCCCCCTGCACATTTACTTTGGGACTGCGGGTTAGATTCCCGATAGATCCCCCAGTACATTTACTTTGGGACTGCGGGTTAGATTCCCGATAGATCCCCCTGCACATTGATAGCCGGACTACGGGACGGTATCCCGGGAGATTCGGATATACACATATAGTGGACTACGGGAAGGCATCCCGGGAGATCCACTGGACAGTTGAGAAAAGGACTACAGGACAGTATCCTGGGAGATCCTCATTGTTACCATTGGTATTGAGCTGCACTTATTTTGTGGTTGTTCCGTTCTTTGTGTATTTGATATTGCCTTGTTTAACCCGTCTTATCTCACTGCTGTACTCATTATTATTGTCAGTTTTTCATACTGTTATGCGCATTTGGGGTTCCTACTAGGAAGTTGCTGGGGTTTATTGTGAGCCGCCGAGGAATAGAACTGGATCCGTCGAAGGTCAAAGCCATTCAAGAGTTACCACCGCTAAAGAACAAGAAAGATGTGATGAGTTTCCTGGGAAGGCTGAACTACATCAGCCGATTCATAGCACAGTCTACAGTTATCTGTGAGCCAATCTTTAAAATGCTAAAGAAGGAGGCCGCTACCAAATGGACTGATGACTCCCAAAAGGCCTTCGACAGAATCAAGGAGTACCTATCAACACCACCAGTCTTGGTCCCGCCTGAGCCAGGTAGACCCTTATTACTCTACCTTGCACTGTTAGACGGAGCTTTCGGCTGCGTTCTGGGGCAACATGATGAAACAGGGAGAAAGCAAGAAGCCATCTATTATCTCAGCAAGAAGTTCACCCCGTACGAGGCGCGGTATTC